GGGGTGGGGGGGTGGGGGGGGGGGGGGGGGTCCTGCCCCGTGGCCTTCTGTGGGACTAGGGTCCTTCTTGTGGGACTAGGGTCCTTCCTCACCCAGCCGTGGCTCAAGTCAGGTCAGTCAGATCTGCAGTGTGCAGGGCGGCCTGCTCCACGCTGGGCGGTTCCAGGTGACCTGTTCGCAGCCGTGCAGAGCTCCCAGCCACGCGGGGGCCTCTGGTTCTTCCGGTTTTCAGCCTTGATGTGTGACTCTGGTCCCTGCTCCTTGGCCAGGTCAGCCTGGCCTTGTTGGGGCGGGGGTGGGGGGGGCGGCCCACTGGTTCCAGTACCAGCCCATGAGGCCACAGACACAGTCCGTGTGATCTGCACGGTCTTTCGTTAAATCATGAGTTGGCTGTTAACACTGAGCTACCGGCGGTGGGGGGGGGTGGGGGGGAGCGGGCAGTGGGGGGTGCTGTGTGTGTGTGAAAAACGTATGTGTCTGGCTTTCTGCGAGGCGACCCCAGGTCTGGTCCAGGGGTGCTGTTGTTCCCAAAGCAGCATCCACTGAGCAGCCCCCTCGCTGGGTGCACGCTCTGGCTCCCCGGGTGCCCCCTCTGGTTGTTCGGGCCTGACCGGGGACCATCGCCCCCGAGGGCAGGTGCCGAGTCTGAGGGCCACTCTCCAAAGCCATGTCCAAGCCAGGCCTGGGCCACACGCAGAGGATACGCCCTGAGTTTCTCCTCATCACTGGCCTCTGGGGTCTGGTGTTGACTTTTGGGGCTGTTGGCAGGAGGAAAGGACTTGGAGGGTCAGGCCTCACACACTTGGTTGGGGTGCCCTCCATGGGGCAGCTCTGTCAGGGCCCCCCCCCCGAGATCCCCGCTGGGAACCTTCACCCAAGCTTTGTGGGTGACACTGCTGCCCCTTCAGATTTGAGGTTCAGAGGTCTGGGGCTTAGGGCCCCCGGCAGTGGAGCTCAGGGGTGAGAGAACCTTATGAGGTAAGAGTGTCAGCTCGTCGGGGACCCCACAAAAGGCCCTGACGGGGGACCGCACCCAGGAGGGCAGCAGGAGGCAGGTGGCGGTGTCCGTGCCAAGCCCATCGGCCGCCTGCCGTTCTTCAGATTCCGTAGCCCCGCGCATACCGCATCCTTCGGGGGTCACCTGGCTCCCGGCATGGGGGCCTCCGCGCCGCTGGCTTTGCCACGGAGCATGCACGTGGGGTCAGCCTGGACCCCTTGCGGGCCCCTCGGCCGCAGTTTGGCTCGGGTGAGGGCTCGTGGCGCTGGCTCTCCTGCCCCAGGGAACCTGCATGGGAGCCAACACAGGCCACAGTTGTCAGAGCAGGTCCCCCGTGGGCTTTGGCTGCTGAGAGCATCTGCCGTCCTCCTGTGGCGTGCATCCAGCTACGTCAGGCACAAACCCACCCTCCCTGTTCCAGGTCAGGCAGCAGTTGAGTGAGATGAAGAGCCACGTAGAGGATGGTGACGTAGCCGGGTCCCCGGCTGTCCCCCCAGAGGCCCCCTCAGCAGAGCAGGACCCCGTCGAGGTTAGGGTGGTGAGCCCATCCCCAGGTGTCCATCACTGACCACCGTGTGGGCCCCTCCACCCAGCTGGAGGGCAGGGACAGCAGCCTCTGCTCCGGCTAAACTCCGGCCACTCACAGCTCCCGGCCCCACTGCCCAGATGCCCGACTCCTCAGGACGCCAGAGTGGGAGGGGGGCGGGGGGCTGGGGCATCACTGGTGGGGCCCTTGCCGTCCAGACCCCTGACCTGGGTGGCGGCCGCTCAGAGCCTCTCCGGGGTGGGAAGGCCGCCAGGGCTCGTGCGGGGCCTAGGCTTCTCTGTCCTGGGGTCTCAGCAGAGGGGCTGCGTCTGCGTCTCTTCTCAGCCACACCAGCTTCCGTCCCCAGGGGTCAGGGCCCTGCCTCCCCCAGGGGGGCTTCAGGCACACAGGCCTCCCTGCTCACTTGTCCCAGGCAGGGCAGGGTCGAGGGGGCCCTGGGCACAGCCAGAAGATGTGGCCGCAGGTCTCAGGCTGCCCAGAGCCCTGGGTGCCCAGGAGGGTCCACCCCAGGTTCCGAGCACGTTTGCGGTGTTTGCACACAGCTGAAGATGCAGCTGGAGCGGACGGAAGCCATCCTGGAGGACGAGCAGACGCAGCGGCAGAAGCTCATGGCCGAGTTCGAGGAGGTCAGGCTGCCCCGTGCCGTCGGGGCTTCTCTGGGTCAGGGCGGCGGGTCTAGGGGGTCGAGCCGCGTCCCACCCCAGGGGGTGTCGCTGCGCCATCGTCACCCGCCTCCGCTCCGTCCAGGCTCAGCTCGTGTCGAGTCGTCTGCAGGGGGAGTTGGAGAAGCTCCACTGCAGCAGCGCCCTCGGGTCCTCAGAGGCGGAGGAGGCCATGCGGCTCAAGGTACAAGGTTCCCTGTTGTCACCGCCGGAGGCCCCTCGGGCAGCATCCGGCCTAATTTGGAGGTTGGCGAGGTCGGCGGGGATCCCTAAGTCTCCAGTGTCACAGCTGGAGGTCACCAGTGTGACGATTTAAATCAAGTAGAACTGAAACTGAGCTCCTCCGTCGCCCTGGCCACAGGGCAGGTGCTCAGCAGCCAGTGCCCGACCCTGAAGCACACCCCTGTGACCCGGAGGCCGCGTCCTCACACCCTCGGCCCCACGGGGGCAGTCAGGTGGCCTTCCTGCTGTGCGTCACGTGAAGGCTGATCCCCTTCAACCCTTTGACCCACAGGAGAGACTAGAAAAGGAGAAGAAATTAACCAGTGACCTGGGACGTGCTGCCACCAAACTACAGGAGCTTTTGAAGACGACCCAGGAGCAGCTGGCAAAGGAGAAAGACACGGTGAGGAAGCTGCAGGAGCTGCTGGACAGACCAGTGAGTGCCGCCGGCCATCCCCTCGGGGCTTGGGCAGGGCTGGGCGCCCCGGGATGCCTGAAAGCTGTCCTCTGCCCCGCCAAGCCCTCGGGCGCCTCCTCCAGCCCCAGGGGCCTCTCAAGGTGGAAGGAAGGTGGTAGGTAGGGGGTGTAGGGACGAGGCCCCTAGGCCCGGCCTACCCCTCCCCCGCCCTCTGTTCACAGGAGGCCGGCAGCAGCAGCTCGACGGAGGGAACGTCTGTCTGAGCTTCCTGCGGAAAAAGAAGTCACTGTTCAACTTACCAAAATGCCTTACACATTCCTGACCAATAAACAAACCAACACAGCGTTATCTGGGCCCAACTTGGGCAGCTCGGAGAAGCCATAGAGACGAGAGTCTCTTAGCACCGGCAGTAGCTCTTCCAGACCCCAGTTTGTAAAAGAATCTTTGTCACATTCGATAAACACTATTCCCTAGGACCGGCCCTGGACCACCGGCCAGCAGACGCCAAAGCCCTCAGCAGCTGTGTGACAGACCCGGGTGTGTGCTAGGGGGCCGGGACCTTGGGGTGTGTATGTCAATCAATCAGTGCAATTGTTGTGTCTTTTGTGGGGTTGGCGGTCGGGCGATGGGCAGTCCGGGTGGTGAGTCCTGAAGGCTGCAGCGCAGACCGTAGGGTCACAGCCAGCGAGGCAGCAGTTCTCACCCCTGGAAGAAGTTGCCACCACAACTGACGTGTGACCTCCTGGGTGTTGATGCCATTAAAACCCGCGTGTCGCCCAGCACTTTGGGAGAGAATGAGTGTGGTCTCTGGTCCCCCCGTGCTTTCCCCACCCGGGCCCTAGCGCCCACTGGGCAGGATGAGGGAGCAGGGCCTGTGACACCTGGTGGCCAGATGCCCTGTGGGCTCCACCCTGAGGAACTGAGGCAGTTCCCTAGCAGGGCTGTGGGCAGCCTAGGCTGTCACGTGAAGTGAGTTCCAGGAATGAACATGGACCTGGGCAAACATCCACACCGCAGTAGGGCTGGTCCAGGGCAGGGGCAGGCAGCTGAACTTGGGGTGATCCTCAGACCCACTGTGTTCTGAGGGGCCCACAGAATCTGTGGTCAGGAGGTGTGTCAGGGGCTTTGTAAGGAACCTGGAGCTCAAGCAAAAAAAAAAAAAATGGATTTAGAGGCAGGGTGACAGGAGCAGTTGCACCAACCTAGGAACAGAAGGTGAATCAGAGCAACCCTGGGGGTCTCGCTGGTACTTTCAGCTCAATTCCAGGACCCATAATCCTGGGAGAGGGGTCTGATGGGCTGAACTTAGACTGCAGGTACAGCCAGATGGAAGGGAGAGTGGTGCTCCCAGGGAAAGCAGCTGAGTGCTGGGGTCTCACCACCCGCTTGAGAAGCTCTGCATCCCATTCATCGCAGTGGGGGGTTTGACTCCTCTCTGGGGTGGTTGTCACAGGAGCCTCGGGACCTTGGGGAGGGAACAATCAGGGTGCTGCCCAAGGCCCCATGCGAGCCACTGCCAGAGGCCGGGCAGTGCTGATCTCTGTACAACCAAGACCTGGGCCTGGCTTTCAGGGGCACTTGGTACACGGGCCACCTGGCCCTGCTGTGTGGCACTTGTATGTTGCAACTGTGTTGGGATCAGGGTGCTGGAACTTCTGGGATGGTTCCCCAGAGATGTGAGCAGAAGCTGGAGTTCAGCACAGAGGCGTTGTCAGAGGAGGAGGGGTCAAGGCCAAGGGGACAATGGTGCAGAGGCACACAGAGTGAGTGTCTGGGAGGGCCCTGTGTAGCCGGGTCATGAAGTCAAGGGATCTAGACATGAGGGCACTGGGAGCCACTGAGGGGGACAGTCATACCCGTCCTGGAACTCTGCAGGGGGCTAAAGTGGAGAGGGAGCCCACGGGACGCAGGACACAGGTTCTGGCCAGGAGCCCGAGCGGAAGTGACTGATGACACCTGAGCCGGCCACGGGCCTGCCCATAGGCTCAGTTCTCACGTGACATCTTTCAGTGCCTGTGGGAGAGGAACCTCCCCCATCCTGCAAAGAACCCTACAGAAGTGACAGTGGCTCACCTGGTGAAAGGCTGGGCAGGCTTCAGGCCTGCCTCTAACAGCCAAGGTCAGGAGGCCTGGGGAGATTTGTGAGCATGGAGCCCAAGCCCGCTGACTCACCCTCTGGCACACAGGGACCTTCACGCAAGGGTAGGGGTTTGGGGCCGTTTTCTGGTGGGAAACAGGCCAGCCTCGTGCCCCAAACCAGGTCTCTGGCATCAGAGTGGCCACCGTGGGCCCGGGAACCTGCGTTTCCACTAAGCTCCCCTCCCTCACCACACCAGCTTCAGAACTGAGGACCCTGACGCTGGGCGGATGCCCCATGAAGGCACAGGAATGGGTCACTTCCGGGAAAGAAGGCACAGGAGACCCTGGGGGTGCCGAGCTGCTGCCTTTGGGCTCCGTCCTCAGGCCGCCTGGTGAGGCCCAGTGTCCACCTGTGGGGACGAGGCGGCCCAGGGCAGGTTGAGCCCCCATCCCTCCCTCCCGCACCCCCCCTGCCGCCCTGAGGCCCAGCAGCAGCGGCTCCCGGCTGGCCGGCAGGGGGAGCCCACGGGCCTCGCTGTCCCTGGGCCAGGTCCCACCCTCGGGCTGGGGAGGGGGGCGGGCAGCTGCCCGACAGGAGAGCTGGGAGATCTGACATCATCTGGTCCAAAGTCCCCCTACAGAGACTCCCGGGTTGACCATAAGCTCAGGGTCACGAGGCCCATCAACATCCCCTCCAGACCCAGAAGCCCCGTCACGCTGATGGCGGCTTTCTGGACTAGCTTCCTCCAGTCACCTCCGCGTGACGGTCAATAAAAAATGCACAAACACCGGGATGCCTGGCCTGCAGGCAGCAAAGCCACAAGATCCTAGAAGCCACCAGACACTCCACAAACGCCTTCTCTTTGAGCTTCCTGCAGGTTTGGGGCCAACAGGACTCAAAACCCAAAAGAAGAGTGTTGTTTTCCTTCCTGCCCCAATTAGAACAAAATCTCAGAACTCCAGATGCATGATGGGAATAGCTTAGGACCAGAAAACGAGACCTGAGCTGTCCAGCTATGCCGCCCATGAGCTGTGTGACCTTAGACAAGTTACTTTACCTCTCTGGATTGGCTACTGAGGCACTGGCTGCAGGCTCAGTAAGTTCCCTCCTGCTGCCCCTCCAGCCAACCATGCAGTGACCCTTCTTCCAGCTGCAGCCCAGCTGGAACTTGGTCTAAAGACTGATTGCACGGTTCAGAAGTGCCCCAGGTCATGACAAAGTGATGAGTCTGCCCTTGGGCATATCCAGGCTCTGATAGTCCAAAGGGCACGAACTGGTGAAGAAACAGAAGCTGCACTTCTGTGTGTGGACCAGCCAGCACTCTGAGGAGTTCTAAAAAAAGGAAACCACTCGACTAAGCCTAATGTTATTGAATCACTGTGTTCACTGTTCTTAGACATTAATATTCTCTGAGTAACAAACTTCACAGTCAAGCTCTGAACTTCTGTTAGCAGTGGCTTCATTTGCTTCTTCCTCAGGACAAAAGAGTAATGATTAAATGAACCCTAAGTCAGCTTTCCACACACACTTCTGCAACGTGTTAACACTTATAAAAGTGTAAATGTGTTGAAAGCAGAGAATACCTGTGGTTTTATTCCTCACCAATGTCAGCTGAGGTCTCAAAACTCTAATTTTGCAGCAGAATTACCCGGAGTGCTGGTTAGCAGTATTCTTGGGCCCCAACCTCAGGAATCCAAAAGTTCCCCTAGGCAGAGATATAAGTGACTATTAGCATTTCCCAATTTCTGGAGTCAACTGGATCGCTGGGAGCTGTTTACATCACATCACATCCCTGTGCTCGAAACCCTCCCCACGGCAGCACCCCCGCCCCGACATACCTGCACGGAGGAGTGGTGGTACTCATACAGGTGGGGCCACACGTCACAAGGTGAAGCCACAGAAAAGACCTTCTCCTTCTAGACTCCTGGCTCTACCTACAAAGCTGATTCTTGAAAAGGGCAGTCTTGGGCCTGCAGCGCTTCTTGGAGGCCTGTTAATGTACACTCACTAAAAGCACTGCTTTGCAGAAGAGAAAACAAATTCAGGATGAAAGAATGACAAGCAGCTTATCGGTAAACCAGTGCCCAGCACTATTTTCTAGATAATTTTGAAAGAAGTACTTGGATCAAAGCGTATCCTTTTCTGGCTCCAAATAAATCACAGAGGAGACAAAATCCTGGCATTCGGATAAACATTTGGAATAAGAGAAAGACTCCCAACTTTTATACCAACTTTTTCATTCAATCAGAGGAGGAGGGAGGGGGCTGTGTCCTTAACGCTAATTGTCCGAAATACCCAAACCTCCACACCTAACCCCACACATGGAAGGCAAAATCCTTTATCCCCAATTCAGCCATGAATAATTACACGAGAGAGAAATTAAAAATGCTTTTCCTTTATTACATAAAGCCAGTACTGCTACTTCTAAATTCCACTGCTTGTGCATCTCGTGTTTTTCAGTGTTACGCCTGTGATGTGAAAGGCAGTCACTTCCAGGTGTCCTCAGCGTGGCTTCCCGTGGCTGTCGGCCATCACACCTGCTCCCCGCTTCAGACAGTCGGCAAACTACTCTAGGAAATTAAGAAGCTTGCCCAGGCCCCAGAGTAAACATAATGTTCTTCCAAACCTTATTGTACCAGAAGCAACACAGTTCTGAAGGAGACACAATTAAAGACATCCCGATATCCCAGTCTGTCAATACGCCACCTCACCATTTTCATCAACAAAGTGGATTACACTGGAGCCCAGATTTGCATTATAATTCGCTGTTACAAGACAGTGCACATTCTCCAGATTTCCAAGATGCAAGGTCACTCTCAGAACAGCCTCCCGACTGGACCAGCGAGCAGCTGCAGGTGCAGGAGCTGCTTCCTGTGTGCCAACTACGTGCATAAAGTAGTGCTGTGCAAGATCGGTGCTGGTTCTAAGCAGTCTCCACCACACGTCTGGTAGAATCTTACGTAGTTAGTAAGTACATTAGTGCTGTTACATGTTGTGAGGAGAGTTATTTTCCATTACTCAGTTTAGCTCAACAGAGAAAAAGGAATTTGGGCCAAAATTATAACCAGATTATGACCAATTCTCTAAGCAAAAGAAACAAAGTAACTGCTGAGGTTAATGAAGATGCAGTAATTCTCTTCATGTGGCCTTGGACTGTTTTGTGAACTGCACTATTAAAAATCATGAGCTTAACAAAAATCTTTACAAGTCAACTAATCAAAACAGGCATTTGGCCAGTAAGAATTTAATTTCACACCAATACAACTTTAGAGTTTAGATTTATTTAGGGCCATTTGCACATGTGCATGGAATAGTTTACCCTAGCAAATGACAAGACAGCTCCCCTCAGCGAGTCCCTGGCCTAAACGTATCAGCTTTACTTACATAGCAAAAGGATAACATTAAACACGGAAGCTTTCAGTTTGTGGCACCGAGTGATGGTCTACACAGGGCATCCTTCAAAAGCTACAATTAAGGATCCACCTAGCTTTTCAGCAATACAAGCCCGATTGAGGTCTTCTGGCCCATTTGCTTGACATTCATGTTTTATGCCTAGGGAGGAAAAAACAACAATTCTATTTAGAATTATGGCAGTAGCTTACGTATTTCTCTAAGATATCAAACTGTTTTAAAAGACCAGTTCAAACGTGGGTGGGAAAGCCGTGGCATATACAAACCACGGAATACCACACAGTGACGAGTAATCTGTAACCACATGCATCATCACGAATGACTCTCACAGACTAATGCTGACAAAAAGAAGCCAGACTTAATAGCATATATTCTAGACGGTTCCACTCGTATAACACAAAATCAGCCAGAGCTACCTTATGCTGTTAGGAGCCAGGGGATTGGTGTCCCTGGGGGGAAGAAGTAGGGGCAGTGGTGTGAGGAGGGGCACCAGGAAGGCTTCGGGGCGCTGGTCATTAAACCAGGAAACAACCGTAATTCACGTACACTTTTGTACAGATGCACTGTATTTCAACGAGTTAAAAAGCAGGTCTAGGAATAAATTTTCTTGGTTTTTGAAATACACATAAACATATGAATTTGATGTTTTGATCGTACAGTTGATTTAGTCAACTGAGTTGAGGAATAAGAGCACTTACAAATGGGATCACTTCTGCTCCAGAAAACAGGTCTCCAGTGGCACCACACAATACATCTAAGAAATCTATCACAATTAAGACTATGTAAAATGTTTTACTGATCGCCTTCTCATCAAAATTACAACACCACACTGCACAAAAGGAGTTCAATTATGGAATCATATACAGTAGCTTCTCTGTAAACAGCTGCTCTCTTTTAAACAGCTGCATTTTGATTTTCCATAATTTTAAGACCATTTCTTAAGCTGCTGAAAGCACAGCAGGTCAGCTTTTGGACCACTCAGGACTGACTGGAGAAAGCCAGTGAAGGTTTCACCAGGAAAAAAGGCACCAGGGAGACGGTCTTTCACGTCAGCAGATCAAGTCCACGGAGCAGCTCCTTTACTGGAACGCACCGCAGAGCGAGGAGGAATCCACTCCGATGCCCTCTGGGGTGCCCTGTGCCAGTGCTGAAGCTAAGGGGTCACGTCAAAACACCAGTTCCCCAGCCAGTGCACACACTTCTAGGGGGCAGCCCAACACCAAACCAAGCACATGAGGAGCCTGACAAGGACTGCACGATGCAGGAAAGGAAGCGAGAATTTTGTTTTCCCAAGTAAAACAAGCTAGGGCAACCCTGATCTACTACAAGAATATAAAAATCAGTCACAGTAAAACAAGCAAAATGAAAATGACCCTAGGCCAAGCCCTTGCGACCGTGGCTCTCCCAGCTGTCTGGAGCGGCCACAGCAGGAAGGTAGGGGGCCACTTCTACTGCACACCTCCCGTTCACAGCTGGGAGAACCCGGCCCGTGGAGGTCACACAGCACTCAGACAACAAGCTTAGCCCTCAGCGGGCTAAGGGCACTTGCCCCATGCTCTGTGCATCATACCAACATCTCCTCCTGGCTGGAGACAGTAAGTGCGTCCAGGCCATCTCATCAGGATCCCAATCACCCAGCGGCAAGTCAAATATAACTGGCCAGCCCAAGGACTGAGGCCACTCTCCTTTGGACACAGATGAGTCTATAATGTAAAATCATACCATTCCAAAGAAAAGCCAGCGACAAGAGCAGCCCTTCCCATTTATGAACATTTCCTTTGTGCAATTTTGTTCTGTCAACTACATTCAGAGGCAACAGCAAATTTATTACTTAGTATGACCAGTTAGTCCCCACCTGCTACGTGAGAAACTTAACAGCATCTCAAACTAGTTTCACAACAGACTGAACAGGAGTACACACACAGTGTCAAGGGAACAGAATATCGAACACAGGCCTTTCAGCACAGGGTGGCCTGCGCAAGGCAGAGATGTGCAGAAAGCCGGGTCAGCCTCCAGGGTTTTCCTCTAAACAAGCAGTGATGCCCTCCTCTGTGGCCAGGGCCCTCCAAGGAGAGTAAGGTGCTTCTTAGAAAAGGTGGTCCCCACGCCAGGGCTCACGACACCGCCGAATACCTGGAAGTCAACTAGACCTTACCTTGAAATTTCTTTTTGATTGCATCCTTGGAGCTCGCATAGATCATTTTACTTTTCAGAGGTGCTAGTTCTGGAGCCCTGGATACAGAAGCGCCAAAGAAGAAAAACAGTGGTTTAGAAAAAGTTCAATTTACATCTTGTTAAATATCTGCAGCAGTGGGCAGGGAGGGTCCTCAGAATCTTCTGGGAGAGCTTCTCTAACTACACAATTTTTCCAATTCCGCTCCTCGGACCGTGGTGGCTGAGCGTATACAGAATAACTCAGGTTGACCAAGGTGGGAAAACAGTTGAGGACCAATGATTAGATATCAGTTAATGGCGCTAAAATAAAAGAAACAACACAGGATAATTCACTGTATGACCCAACTGTTTTCTTGAAAATAATTGTTTTTCACTTGTATCAATAAAGGCTTGAGTTCAGGCTAATAACCACCATCTTTGTATGAGGTTTTTAATACTTTCTGGTGGAAAAGTTTCAAAATACAGAAAAGTACAGAGAATCATCTGTAAGTCAAGTATCTGCCACCCAGAATTAAGAAATGCTAGCAATTTTTGCTTCAGGTTGTTTTCTGGAAAAGAATGTATATAAAGTCCAAGTCCCCTTACTGCCCCTGCCCACCCAGTCCCTTCATTCACATCTGTTCCAGCAGCAAATTCTGACCTCAGGCACTCGTTTTCCATCTCAGTCTAACATAATAAAACATGTCACAAGGATTTCTTTTTCTAAGCTTAATGGCAATTCAGCAATCATTATGTCTTAATTGTTAATATAACTATTATCTTATATTCACAAAATTTTTAGTGCCTCCCCCTCTTGAATGAATACTGGAAGCACAGCATATGCTTTACCATGTTCTTTACCTGCAACGTTGAAAGTAAGAGAAATACTAACAATGCACAGAAAAATCTCATCTACTCAAACTGCACATCTACGAATGCATCATCTCTCACTATACGCCAAACCTCAGGCCTGCCTGCACTCCACACCACCACGATTCCATTTAGCTGCCATATTTCCAGGATGTTCCACAGTCATGAACACCGTGGCCCGGTGGGGCCCTCACCTAGTCTGCCGCCCACACAGTGGGCTGAGTCTATTCTTAGGAACAAGATGAAGGGCAGTTTCTCGGTCTCTCAGCGCATATTCCTCACATCTCTGAGGTCCAAGGAGGGAGGCAAAGCCACAACAAGGACCTCAGATGCACCAGCTACAAAATTAAGTGGGTGCTTTTCTTATGCAAAATAGGTCAGGGACAAAAAAAGCTTTAGCTGTTCTGATTTTACTCTAAACAGATCTTCAAAATACTTGAAGTAAGAGCCATTCCCTGGGCCCTAAACAGAGCCTGTTACGGAAAACTCCTATAAGGTTTTTATCTTTCTTTTAAAAAGTAATAATGCAAAAATAAAACACTGCACTAACACTGAATCTTCTCTTCTTCATTCTACTTTTATTTTCCAAATGTTCTTTAATAAGGATGTATCATTTTCATAGTGGAAAAGAAAAGGATAAAAATCCAGGATAAAAAATAGTGCAAGTGAAGGAAATATTAACCAATTTAAAAGCTTAAACCTTTACCTGCCATATCTGCCACTCAAGAGTAAAGCCCAGAAGAGCCAGGGCTTTAGCTGTTTTTTTCACAGCTATTTTCCCAGCCCTAACACAATGCCTGGCATGTAGCAGAAATAAAAGTTTAAAGGATGCACCTTCATTCAACATGCTCGGTTTTAAGTCTCACTACTATCTTTATGCACTTGTGTCTGTGGCTGCCAGGCTCCTTCCACAGTGGGCGCCCAATACGCGCATCTGACCTCACCAGGTGCAGCCAGGGCTGCAAGGGACTGAGCCGTGCGTGGCCTACGGTTACATTCCCTGAGACCTGAACTCTTTTGACTTCCCAGCCCCATGGTCCCACGTTGTTGGTGGCACACAGCTGAGAGTTAAGCCCCTCCTTGCCTTGCCGGGCTCAGGCCAGAGTCCAGAGGACACTCACTCCCCCCAAATCAGAGGCCGTTACCACTTCCCCCTTCCCCTTGGAAGCCAGAGAAGATTCTCACTGTGTAAGAATTCCATACCAAGGAACGTACTACATACAATACAATTAAATGAGGAATACAGGGTGACTTTTAAATCAAGCTTAATCTCAAATATGAACTTATTTGAAAAGACCAGAATAACTAATTTAAACAGCCTTTTAAGGCCATGTAAATCACTTTATAGCACAGTTTCACTATTTACAACAACGCTGTCCAATAAATAGAGCTTTCTGCAGTGAAGGAAATGTTCTGTATCGGTGCTGTGCTACCTAAAAAGGTGGCCACTAGTCACATGTGGCTACTGAGCATTTGAAATGTGGTGATTCAACTGAGAAACGGAACTTCAGACTTTCATTTCAACAGCCCCAAGAGGCTAGTAGCTACCCTACTGGACAGTGTGAATGCAGAGCAAATTCCAGCCGGAGGCCACGCCAGCACCAGCTTCAAAGGCAGCAAGCCACAGAGGCACAAGTGAAGCGGGAGGCTGGTTCCTGGCAGGGCGTGTTGGAGAAGAATCTGGTGAGGTGCTAAGCTAACAATAAGAGATTAACTCTGAGATTTACAAAGGTTCAATATTTCTAACAATGCTTACCACAAAAAAAACATCAACTCCTCTTTTCTGGATTCCTTTGTTTCGAAGCTTGCATCATACAAAGCATAGCGACAATCTTTTTCAGGAAGCATTCCCACAAAATGCTTGAAAGGATCCGTTATGGTTACCCCGATATCTCCAACCAAGATCTCTTTGCCTTCTTCTACAATGATGCACTTTTTGTCTGCGCTGAGACAGAAAATGACAGCTTTCTTTCTTTTCTTGATTTCTTCTGGTGTGGAGCACTTCCGAACTTTCATGTCATAGAAAATGCGACACACTTCATCAGCAACTTGCACTCCTGAGGCCTAGAATGAGAAGGGGAAAAAAATCATAAGGACGCTTACAGTTTTTATCGCGCCAAATACAAAACACTACGTAAATTTTGGTTTATAGACTGGCATACACTTAAATTTTTTAAGGTATATTTACCATCTAATAGGAAGACTAGAAAATTTGAGCTGCAAACACTAATTTCAGTCATTAAACTTTAAAAAAGATTACATATCTAAGCCATTCAGCACTATTATGCGGGAGTAAGGGAAGATTCAGCTACAGCAGCTCCTCCAACCCTGAAACCCCTGGGGTGCTGAGGAGCCTTCTTATACAGGTTGCTCAGAGGAGCCCTGACTGGGGCAGTCATCTCCCCAGTTTGGGTGTTAATAACACCCGAAATTCTTTTTATAACCAATAACAGATGGTCAGAGTGGCTGGGCTGGGAAAATTCCACTCCTACAGCACATACTTCACTAATAAAAGAATTGAAAGGTCTCTGTTCTACTCACATGTCAAAATTATAGGATTAATATCCAGTAACATATCAGTCACATACCTGTAAAATTTCATTTATAAAATCTCCAAGTTTTAAATTAAAATTAGAATAAACGAGATTGCTAGGAGACTAGATCTTAATCGTTCCCACCACAAGAAATGATAATTATGTGATGTGATAGAAGTGTTAGCTAACCTACAGTGGTAATCATATTGCAATACATAAATGAATCAAAAATCAACACCTTGTAAACCCTAAGCTTACATAATGCTATATGTCGATTATATCTCGATTAAAAATAAATAAATATTTACTGCTATAACAAAGAGGATAGCTTAATTTAGGATTATACTGACTACAGAAAATAACCTTTCACCATGTTATACTTGCTATTCCAAAATGAAGAAGTGGTTACATAAGATCTTGATAAACAAAGATCTAAAATCACTTTTTGATCTTTTCATCTTCTTTAAGGAATGTGCCATTTCCATCAACTTTATAATTTTTTATGCTTCATTAACTACTTTGGTTTGCATGTTAGCTTTTCTAAAGCAAGAATTATAAACTTAATAGAATTTAAATACTAAACAATGCCAAAATGGTAATGATACCCAAAATTACCATCACACCATTTGATTAAATATAAATGCGTGTGAGATGAAAAAATAACCTGCACACTAGGAAAAAATATTTGCAAATCGTATATCCAATAAGAAACTTGTATCCAGAATATATAAAGAAACCTTATAACAACAATAAAAAAGACAACCCAATTTAAAAATGGGCAAGCAATTTGAATAGACATTTATCCAAAGAAGATTTTTAAAAAACGGTCAAGAAGCACTTGGCAAAAGCGCTCAGCACCATTATCATTAGGTGAGGGCACATCAACACCACAGTGAGCCACTACCATCAGGTGAGGGCGCATCAACACCACAGTGAGCCACTACCATCAGGTGAGGGCTCATCAACACCACAGTGAGCCACTACCATCAGGTGAGGGCGCATCAACACCACAGTGAGCCACTACCATCAGGTGAGGGCGCATCAACACCACAGTGAGCCACTACCATCAGGTGAGGGCGCATCAACACCACAGTGAGCCACTACCATCAGGTGAGGGCGCATCAACACCACAGTGAGCCACTACCATCAGGTGAGGGCGCATCAACACCACAGTGAGCCACTACCATCAGGTGAGGGCGCATCAACACCACAGTGAGCCACTACCATCAGGTGAGGGCGCATCAACACCACAGTGAGCCACTACCATCAGGTGAGGGCGCATCAACACCACAGTGAGCCACTACCATCAGGTGAGGGCGCATCAACACCACAGTGAGCCACTACCATCAGGTGAGGGCGCATCAACACCACAGTGAGCCACTACCATCAGGTGAGGGCGCATCAACACCACAGTGAGCCACTACCATCAGGTGAGGGCGCATCAACACCACAGTGAGCCACTACCATCAGGTGAGGGCGCATCAACACCACAGTGAGCCACTACCATCAGGTGAGGGCGCATCAACACCACAGTGAGCCACTACCATCAGGTGAGGGCGCATCAACACCACAGTGAGCCACTACCATCAGGTGAGGGCGCATCAACACCACAGTGAGCCACTACCATCAGGTGAGGGCGCATCAACACCACAGTGAGCCACTATCATTAGGTGAGGGCGCATCAACACCACAGTGAAGGACTACTGCACACCCACCGGGATGGCTGTGGACAGAAACTAACGTTGGTGAGGCTGTTGAGAAACTAGGGCCCTTAAATGCTGCTGAAAGAACTGCAACCATGGTGCAGCAGCTTCAGGAAACCATCTTGCAGCTCCTCAAAACATTAAACTTGGAGTTAACACACAGCAACACCACTCCTCAGCATAGACACAGGAGAAATGAAAACATATGTCCATCCAAAAACCTGTGCGTGAAAGTTCATAGCAGCATTATTTCTAACCGCCGAAAAGTAGAAAGAATCCAATGTTTATCAGCTGATGAATAAACAAAATGTGGCATATCCATACAATGGAATATTATTCAGCCATAACAGAATGAGGAGCTGATACCCGCTACACGACACATGAACCTTGAAAAGCACCATGCTAAGTAAAGGCCCAGACATACAAGGCCACATTGCTCACAAGTCTATTCCCTGAAATGTTCAAACAGTCAAATCCATGGACAGGAAGCAGATTAGTGGTTACCAGTGGTGAAGGGGAGAGGGAATGCAGAGTGACTACTAGTGGGACGGGCATCTTTTTGGAGTGATGGAATGTTCTGGAATTTGACAGTGGTAATGGATGCACAACTCTGGAAACATACTGAAAATCAGCGAACTGTACTTTATGATATGTGAATTATATCTCAATAAAGTTGTTACTTAAAAAGGCATGTAAAGGGCTTCCCTTGTGGCGCAGTGGTTGGGAGTCCACCTGCCGATGCAGGGGACGTGGGTTCATGCCCCGGTCCGGGAAGATCCCACATGCCACGGAGCAGCTATGCCCGTGAGCCATGGCCGCTGAGCCTGCACGTCCGGAGCCTGTGCTCCGCAACAGGAGAGGCTGTGACAGTGAGAGGCCCACGTACAGCAAAAAAGAAAAAAAAATGCATGTAAGAATTCTGGGGGTTAAAATACACAAAGATCCTAGCAGTTACTTAGTATTAAGGTAACTGGGCCACTTAATCATCTCATTCATTAAAAGAGCTCACCTCAATCCCATCTAATCTAATCTACATGTAATCATAATCCACTTCAATCCTACCTAATCTAATCCTAAATGAACATTTTACTCTAACAAAGAGGAATATACAGAAAATTACGGCTAGAAAACTACCTCCAAAGTTACACAATCTTACCGCTTTCCCATTTTTAAAAAATACTACCTTAAACCTTCTTTTACTGCTTTAGGAGTAGTTATTGTTCTGATCTTCACAGTTCATCTATGGAAAGCAAGTTAAGAATTTTTATTCTAATTTTTTGAATAGAGATGAATAAAATGTTCAAAGTGACAAAAATTAACAAGGAATTAGAAACAGACCCTAATTCCTCTAACTCCCTAGTCCATAACTGGTGATTTGTAAATCACATTTGACTAATCCATCTTTAAAAGCATGAAGGAAACATTTGAAGCCTTGAATCCAACCAATTAATATTTGAATGTATCTGTCAATATCTAAGTGAAGTATTTCAAACAACACTCAATTCTGACTTGGAAATTAAATTAATTACATATCAGTAACTGAAAACAGAAAGTAAATGTGTATCCTGCAATCATAATGCAACTAACCTCAGCCAAATCTGGCTGTAACTTACAGGCACCTTAAAAGCCTCAGTAAGGAAGAATTTTGGCTTTTTTCTATCTGAAATGAGGAATATGGAGGTTTCTGATGAGGGGAATACTAGAGATATTTATGCTTGAGGAAACTAACACCAAAGACTGTGAAGGAGAAACTGTCAAAGACACTGGAAGCAGGAAGACCACTTCTGAGGCAACTGCCAATATCCAAGAGAAAGCTCTGAACTACAGCAGTGCTGCTGAAAACAAAAACAAATCCAAGGACATTTCAAAGCAGAGCCAATACGGCTGAGAGAAACAGTAAGGAAGAGCATCAAAGACGACCCTGGATGGATTCTCCAGACTGGTGACTAGAAAGACTGATGGATAAACAGAAGGGGGAGGATGGGCACAGTTTAACACATTAATCTTGAAGAATGTGCAAGACATCTAGGTGGAGATGACCAGTCAGTAACTGGAAACAGCATAAATCTAAGAGGAAGGCTCCACTTAATCGGTATTTTGGACCAAAGTCAATACCACGGAGGCATATCAACATTAAGTAGCAAAAGAGAAACAAGTCAATGGAATTAAGAAGAAATTATCAGAAGGCTAAGAAGAAAAAGTAAGACGGGGGAAAAGACCATCCTGGAAGCCAAGGGAAAATAATTCCAGAAGGGAGGTCAGCAATACCAGAAACTGTAAAGTTCGAGAATGACTGGAAACGGACCACTGGGCTTGACGACTGGGCCTCCGAGCATTTCAGGAGACAGAGGGATGGGCAGGAGTCCAGGGCAGTGGGCTGGGGATGCACAGGGAACAGAGGTACAGCAGACAGGATGGCTGGTGGCGAAGGGAAGGGGAGGACTGAACGCTGACTTCCAATGCATGTAAGTTGTCTTCCACTGGGAAGATGCGGCCACACTAACAGTTTAAGAGCTTGAAGGAACAAGAGAAAGAAAGCCAAACCCTAAAGAAAAAGAAAAAAATACTAATATCGAGTACTTCTATTGTCACACACTTCTAAATCACCATTCTATGAGCTAGCTACCATTACTGTTCGCATCCTACAGATGGGGAAATTGAGGCATAGAAAGATTAAGTAACTTGGCCAGGGTCACACAGAAACTGACAGAAGAACTGAGGTTTACACTCAGGCAATTTGGCTCCAGAGGATACTTAACCACTCAAACAACAGTCAGAATCCTAATGAGACTGACGAGATGCAGGGCGCAGATGCGGGAGTCAGTCT